CACCATGTGTTTTGGTGGATAATGCATGTGCCCCCAAAGAGAGGTTCAACTCCCTCTGAAGCACTGCACCACTCTCTACACTCTATTAGCTTTTCAATGGATGTAGTGTGTGACCCATATTTGCTTGGCTTTGTGTTTGATGCTTAAGTGGAGTTTTACATTACTTTATTGTACTATATAAATTCAGTGGGTAATAATACCATTTATGTTGCCCTGTATAGCACAAAATTGTCATAATCCTGAAGGACTGACGGGCTGTTGATCAAATGTCAGTCCTGTTCTCTATTTTATAAGTGCACAGACAGGTTTCATGGTTTTTCCTACTATTGTAACTGCATGTAAGTCACTTACTGGCTGTACTAATTCACTGCAGTGCAAAAGAAGTTGGTTTAGTCGGTGTTGTTGCATTTGATGAAGGTCACTGGTCACAATCAATTTTTTTACCGAAAGATGAAATGAGTATGTATATTCGAATTAATTCAAACGAATCGTGGGTCATTTTGAATTTGTTTCCATCTTGATTCTTTGAAAAAGTGACAGCTGTATAGTAGCCCACAAAGCTGGATCATGAGTGGGTTTCAGTTGGTATCATTGTGTTTGAAGGAATATACAGGTAGCACAGGTGAGTGCCCTACTGGGTCCTACAGGTAATTTTCAAACAATTATTTAATTAAGCTGTTGTCAGTTTTCAAACAGTTTATAGTAGATACATATTGTGAATGATTGTGTTTTATTTGTGCATCTGACTTCACCATGTTGGGACCTATAAACATGTCACCAGTGGACACAGTCCTGGTCTCATGGTCCCCTCTTATTTTAAATGTGGACAGTGGGATCTGGAAACTTCCAGTCGGTTTCTGTGACTGGAATGTCACATGTTGGTGTTTTGAAGTTTGGGAAGCGTGATTCACCTCAGACACCGATCTGAGCGACAACCCTACATTACTCACTTACAACAGGCTTTGTGTTTACAGCCAGAGGGAGGGGACGTATGTGGGGTTGGAAGGGCTTCCCTGAAGTATTTCCATCATGTGCCAGGTCTGGTCGTCTGGCACATTTGCTGTAAATGAAGCGAGCCTGTGTTACGAAATAAAACCTAGACAGGCGAAAATCACCCACCATATAATTAGCTTTTTTAACATGTGACTTCTTAACGTCTTTACCACACTGTATTCCTTTTACAGATTTCTGCTGGGAACAAGAGGCTGAGTGGCACTAGTGCAGCTGCAGTGAAACAGAGAGCTGAAGTTTTAAACCAAAAGTTCCACATCTGAGAGCGCACTAATGGCCACCAAGGCTTTTTTTTAAGAACACAATCTTGTTTTGTTAAACAATCTCGTAAAGAATATCAATTACTGTAAAATAAAGACTCTTCCCATAAAACAGCCTCCTTCGTGTCTGAGGGAAAGGTTCCAGCCACAGTTCACACCAGTGACACACAACATTTTTAAACTCTCCTCTGTTTTATGGCTGGAGGCTCAGAGAGAAGAGTAATACACAAAGTAAAGAGAAATAATAAGTCAACACATGTTCAAAGTGTTAAATGTTACAAAAAGTTACAAAATGCCTTACGAAATATAGAAATATATAAAAAATATAAAATAAATAGAATATAGAAAAATATACTAAAACCAAAGTAAAAGTTACAAAATACAGGTCAGTTATAATGATTGAACACCATCACATAAAACAAATTTTCTGTAAAAAAAAAAAAAAAAAAAGAAGCACAACAGCATTTAGTACAGCAAAGTCAATCGTGCTACAATCAGTCGGATTCTCAAATGCTTGTTTGCTTATTCTGACGGAGGAGGGTTAAATAAGTTAACCCTCCTCCATCAGAGTAACTACTCCACAACAGGTGAATGGTTTTCAGAGAGTTTTTAGGAGTTGATGGTGCAAAAACATCTTCTGAAAAAACTGAACTTATGGGTGTCATATCCATAGCAACTAAGCTAACCAGCTTGCTAACTGACAGCTAGCAAGTTCGGCCTTTGTTCGTAGAGGAACAACCCTAACCTTAACCCTATGTAGAGGAGGAGACCTCTGTGGATAATTTAGCAGGTGTCAAAATATCAATGATTGTATATGGTTTATATTTACCACATGTAGAGTACAGTAAATGCTTCTGAACTGAGGCAGTTTAAGGTTTCTTTTCTCTTTCACTGATAATGTAACATCATTTCAGGTGACAGTGCAGTTTTGTGGTCTGTGAATCAATCAGAAAACAACAGTGAGCGCACGTCTCCGTCTGACGCTCAGGTTTCATCAGGGCAGAGGATGTGGTCAGCTCTCCCCGACATGTTTAGCGTCTGCCGTCATTGCCGTGTTGATGGTAATGGCTGGAAGGAACATGTCCAGACAGAGTGGGTGGCTACGGCCCCTTCCACCCAAAACACTCTCTCCAGCAGACAGACACACATCCACACTGTCTTACATCTGGGCTTTCCTCAGTTACACGCTAAACCTCAGGCATCCTATCAATCATCATGTGACGCACACACGTAACTCCTGCAGAACTGTTGAACTTGTGACCAGCTTCATGTCCAACCAAAACATTATGCGACATAGACTATGATCTCATTTAGTTGTAAACCATTAAAACTTAATTGCTGCTAATTATAAGATTAAATTGCGCAATAAATAGGCAGGAATATGATTGGCAGGATGTGATGATGCAGAATCCTGAAAGTGGAAATGATACAAGGTTGGAGCAGGATGAACTTCTGCCAAAACTTCAATAGCAAAAGAACAATGAACATAGTCTGAAAAAATATCAGACATTTAAATAGAAGAAGTAGTCATCATCCTATTTGATTTGTAGTTTCAGACCATTCACAGTTGATTCGTTTCTGAAGTCTGTGACCCACATACAGCAGCATTTGGATTCTGATGCTCTGCGATGTCTTCTCACTGATGCCGAGTACACCTGCAGCTTTGTGGGTCCCTGGAGATCTGGGGTCCTGATTGGTAGTCCAGCCTCGTCAAACACCCATGAAACTTTAAGTCAGCACTTTAAAGTTGTGATCCTTAAGCTTTCAGTTCTTTGTGCTTGTTCAAGGAATTTGAATCCTGTCAGATAACAACAGACAGATGTAATTAAAAAATGTGAATAAATTGAAAAATGCTGATCACAAATAAGATCAAGAATGGGGACTGATTTAATGAAAATGTTATGGAGTGTAGTTTTAAACTTGTTGTCATTTCTTGCATTTCAATCCAAGATGCCAAAGTACAGACTGAAAACTAGAGAAAATATGTCGCTCTCGGAACCATGTTTCATCTCTGATTATCAATATCTTGACAATAGTTTGGTTTGAAATTGTATGATTTGAATCATAGTTGAAACGTGTTGAACAGCCCGATGACCATTTAAGCCATCGACCATTTAAGACACTCATTGTCTTATGTGTCGTAAGTTTCAAATTCTTATATCCATATTGTTCCCATTTGCATTTTCCTTTCTCTGCTGAATGATTGATACTTGAAAATGAATTGTAAAGTCTTGATACCGCCTCACCTCCCCTCTGTATTCTGGCAATTGAGAGGTGATAATGGAGACAATTAGAGAACACTTTATCTTGGCAGCGTGTCGGCCGGGCCTGTACTGTTACAACCTGTCAACAGGAGCAGCGTTCACACCCTGCAGCCGCTCCGTGTCTGTTTAAGGCCGACAGCAACATTAGGATGTGCAGCCCCGTCACTGTCAGGGAGGGTTTGGATGAAGTGAGAGCAGCTGTTGAGGCGTTCCCTTCCTTCTTACAGATCTGAACTCTTACATACATGATCTGGCCTTGTGCCTGTGGCCTGAACATCTTCTGTATCTGCATCATGTTACTGTGTTTATTTAAGTGTGTGTTTCACCTGGGGAATTTTTGGATCCTTACATCTACACACCTTTTTTGAAAAATGCGATATGAATGGAAGCGTTGTGAATTCTGACTTCCATGCAAACTTTGGATGTGGCAGTACTGAATATTCTTTGTCATAATAGCAGTAAACTTGATTTAAGGGCCCCTTATGTATCCTGGCCTTGCTGCCTAAGACCGATTTCACATAAGGGTGGTGAAAGTGCCTCATAAACTGGAAAAGTCCCTCTTTAGATTACATCCCATTTATAATCATATCAGTAGATTTATCAGGGGGCGTTTAAAACCGCAGGGAGGTTTGATGTCATCTGCTGATGTTTCATCCATTACAGTTCTACGAACGATAAGAAATAACATGTTTGCGGGCGGTCAAACCCATCCCCATGAGCTGTGGTCTTCCACCCAGCTTCCCAGAACCTCGCTCTTTGGTGTAATAATCTCGACATTCTTCTGACTCCAGCTCACGCCTCCTGAGCTGGGCAGCTGTAAATTCAGCGGTGTGGCATGAGAGCCAGAGCATTTATATGGTTCTGGACACTTCATGTACAAATCCAAATCAGTTGCAAAGGAAATAGTTTTCCACTTTTGGTTGCGTCTAGATGTGGCGTTTACCACATGTCTGTCTTACTGTATATTTAGAACAGTACAGATCTGAATGTCCTTACTTAGTATGACATCCTTTTCCAAAGTGTTGACACCAATAATCCCGGAGCCTCCTTGGCCTTAAGGCAGCACATCCCTCCTTTTTCTTTATTTTTTCTGCTGCACATTAACATCAGCGTTTTATTTAAAGCAGCTGTAAAGAATATTTTTTATGTTAAAATGTATAAAAATATTATCACCTGACTTTGCAGCATCCAACACTTCGCTTACTCCACTCTCACTGGTGTCGTTTGATAGTCTGCCATATCACTTGAATAGGGTGATTGTGTTTCCAGCTTGTTCCCGCTTACCCAAAGTGGCTAATAATCAGCTAATGTAAATATACTGTATATTTAACCTTTGACCTCATTGGTGGCCCAGGAATGTTTTGGTGCTTTTGCACTTGCTATTTAAATGCCAAAAAAGCAAATAGGCAGAGAAAGACTTGGGTTATAATACCAGCTAATTATCTGCTGTTGTCTTTGTCTGCAGGTGACAACTCCTTCCTACCCTGTGGTGGTCAAGATGGGACACGCCCACTCTGGTATGGGAAAGGTGAGTAAATTAAAATATACAGAAAGTAGTCCCAAATCCCAGAACTTTAGTCCTGACCTTGATGCCTAACCCCTCGCCTTGAAACTGCCTGGATTTGGGGTAAGGACACATTTTAAACTGAACATATTTCAGTTAGTTTTTCCTCTTTATCTTAAGCCAGGAATACTCCAGAAGGCGTCTAACTGATAGTGAAAAGGATCTGCGTCACACATACAGCAGCTCACCAGTTCAGATTTCCACCTTTACATGCTCAGATTACAGGATCACACTCCAGTCCAGTGATGCAAATCAAACATGTGACATTAAACCAGACAGCTTTGACTGGTCTGAAGTTCAGACAGGAGGCAGGAGATCACAAACCTAAACGCCCACCTGTCTTATTTTGTACAGACCCGTGCTGTCTCTCCGTGATCTTTAAAATCAGTCGTGATGGCCAAATCAAAGTTATAATCGGGCGAGTGAGGAGCGTGTTCCCATGTTTACTCTCACTGAGCAGATGTCTGATTGTTACAAAGGCAGAACAGCACAAACACAGACAGACACACACCACTGATAAGGTCTGAGTACAGTCCACTGGCAGTTTTATTTTTGATGTTCTTTTATGCAAAAGTCTGACAACCTCAGACAATCTAACATGATCGCTGCAGGGGAATGACTATAGACTGATGTCTGTCATTTCTGTTGAATAAATACTGAACACCGTGGACTTTCTATTTAAAATGGATTTTGTTATTTATTTATTTGAAGACGCGGTTACACAATCAACACAGCTATGAGAAAGCTGACGCCCTCATTCTCCCGAACACGTGTCTCTTTCAGTCTCTTTCGCCCGCCAGTCGTTTGGATTCCTCACAGCGGTAGGCACTTCCTATATGTCTTTGGCCCTCGTCTGTCTGGATGGGCTTGGTTTCCTGTTCAGGAGCCAGACATGCTATAGAATTTCCCATAAGGCTCTATGGGAACCAGGCAGGACCTCATTTAACCCCTCAGACCTCACAGAGCTCTGAGAACAGACAGGAACATGTGGGATTTAGGTCATCGCTGTTCTGTTTGCTTTTGACACAAACCTGTAACACTGACAATGATTTTGCATTTCTAGCTTAATAATAACACATTTACTCAACAAAACACCAACTATATATGTGGCCTGTAATAATACATCAACCATAGCTTAAAGGTGCTACATGTTGCACTTTAGATCATTACTAGATTAATGTTGAGCCACTGCTGTCACTTTCATGTGACAAACTGACATAACAGCAGCAGAAAGCTCTCCACCCACTTTCCTCATGACGTCTTTCTCTGTACGTCACTAAGTCTGGACACTGACCAGTGTGACATGAGTTTTTCCACCAGGAGCACTTCTTCATCTCTTTGCCAGTGTTTCACCTTCTCAGACTGAATTGTTTGCTACTCTGGGTGGGTTATACGCTTGCAGCAGAGTACTTGACCTGCTGCTAGCTATCAGGTTCTACCTCTGGAGCCATGATGGGAACTGTGAGTCACTTCCCTCCATTCAGTTGATTTTGTTGTTTCAGCTTCTGCATGTTTACTGTGCTATAGGCAAGGCTCAGGTCTTAGCCTCAATGCTTCAAACTTTAATGTAATATGACAGACCATGAATAATGATACATCTAGGTCAGTGTTTTTCAAACCTTTTCACACCGAGGACAAAACCATTAAAATGAAACTCACAGACCACCTAAATCTGCACTACAAGTCTCAGTTGTGGTGACTACATTACCAGTAAAACTTAACACTCGCCTGTTGTGTTCAGTATGTCGGAGGTTTCATTTGATATTCTTTTAATTGACCCAGTCTTAAGCCACCGCTCCGTGATCTTATCTGTTGTCTGTGTTTGATATATATATTGAATAGGCTGCTGATAACTGCTGAAATTGAGCCCAAGGCTAACCATTAGCTTCATCCACATTTCACACATCATTTTTGACATAAATTATAAAACATAAACTGTAAACTGGTGTAGCCAGGTGAGTATACAGTGTTGTAAAATGGTCAGTTACATTGAAGTCCAACAACACTGCAAAACAGTAATGTGGTCCACAGTGGACACTCTGAGAAAGGCTGAGCATCTGGACAGTCTTATCAAAGCACAAATCGCAACAGTAACTTTAAAAGATAAAATAACACATTCTTCCTCTCACAAATGAAACAGTGAGTTCATAATCAATGAAAACATGCCCTTGCTCTGTAGTGAAGTAAGCTAGGCTAACAGGTATTTTCTGGTACAGGCTTTATAGGTCTGTTATTGGCTTATGTTGGCTAATCTGAGCAAACTTTTAGATACAGTATTTCTGTGTAACTGATATTACGCATTTTTGTGACTTTATTAGCCTTTTCGCTTATGCTAGTGCTACAGTACGTTTTAGCTTGTAACAGAAGAACATTTAACATGCTGTGTTTACTTCTTGTTTTACATCTGAAATGTTAGTCTGTGACATGTTGATGTTAGCGTAGCAGTAACCTAAGTATAGAAATGTTAAACTGACCCACAAAGAGATATTTCTAAAGTTTGCTAACATTAGCAACCATTACTACTGGTCATACCAGACCAAGTAACACTGTAGTACAAAGACACACTGTTAACTATGAAAATAGAAAAAGTAAATCCTTTAGTTTTAAAACAGTCTGTGATATAGCTTGAGAAGGCTAATGGACATATTTAAATTTTGACACAATTCCTTCAAGCTGTTAATGCTATTTTACTGTGATGTTTACTTGCAGCTGTTAGCCAGTATAGCTACAGTATAGCCAGTACTCTGTTGATCTGACTTTATCAGCTGGAAAAAGTAAAGATATTTTCTACTCTGCCCTCTGAGCTCATTTCAGAGACTAATGGATTTAGTTGCAATTGAAAGCTTCATATGTGGGTTTCAACAAGTATATTCATGTAATTACCCATCAAAGTGACAACATTGTTTATTGGACCACAATAACCATTAAAAGTTGCCCTTCTTTTGAACATTTGAACCTACTTTAATGGTTTTGGTACCGATCACTCATGCTCAGTTTGGCTTTATTTGTTTTCCTACTGTTGGTTCTCTTGTATTTGGTGAGGGTTGCATCATTTTAAAAGCTCCTTGGGATTTCTTTGTTCCACCCGAACAATTTGTATTTCTTTTTCAGTGGTTTTGTTTGTGTGTGAAAGTGCACTAAACCTAAAACCTTATAAACACAGCATTAAACTGTTTCCTTAGACCTTACAAATTGTCACGTTTAGATGAAAGTGTTCTACAAATTCAGACCTTGAGTCATGCAGCTAACTTACGGAATATTAACATCTGAGGCCTGTACACCCCTAGAGAGGACGTGAAGTTTAGATCAACAAACAACTGCAAACCGATTTCCATGTCATTTTAAAGTGAGATTTCAACCTTTACTTGAAGTTTACTTAAACCTACATTTAAACTGACATCACAAGAGCAAAGCATAGAGTTTTGTCTTCTTTCATGATGGCACATCAGCATTCCTGCGATGGTACCAGTGAAATGGATCATGATGAGTGAGTGGAAACTATGGACTGAATAATTTTGCATCTCAGACACTGAGCTCTGACATTTCACCATACACTACAGCTGCTGATTAATGAGTTTGTCTGCAAAGATGCCCCATTTCCCATAACCTTGTAGAATACACCTCATAAATCTGTGCATCAGATGAGTTAAAGGTCCCATACACTTTTCCAGTGGTTTTAAGAACCAGAAACCATCTCAGTATAGTTTTACATCTCCTCTCTCTGGTTTTACCCTGGAGCTCTAGAAAAAACAGGTCGGAAATCCTGCAAGGTTGGATGGTGGATTCAGGTGGGCGGGGTTTGGGGCATAGCTGAGAGTGGCGACTGCTTTGTTGTAACATCACAAAGTTACAGAAGTCCTGACAGCTAATTTTAAGGTTCAGTTCGTGAATACAGGCTGTGTGCATTTCTCTGTGGACTGAGCGCTTTGATACTTTCACAGTATTAATATAGAATGTAGACCTGCTTTATAATCAAAGAAGACATGGAAATTTCACTTATCTAATATAATATGTGACTTTTAAATAAGACAAAGAGCTCCACCTACAGAAACATCATCCACAGAAAATCAATATAGGAGGACGTCAGAGTGAGGATGTTTGATTGACAGGTGATCGCTCTGAACTGTAGTGAACAAAGTAATTTTGTAGCCAAGATAGAGTGTAGATAGAAATAAATGGAGGTCTTACAGGTCACTTATTCACACCCTTTCCTGTGTTACGAAATCACACCTCATTGTTACCTAGTTATCTAAAAGTTAAAGTGAATTTATGTGACATGTTTTGTGCTGATGGGCTCCACTGCGTCATTTCCCCTCAGTTGGTGTCTACAGTCTTCAGTGTAATCACTCGATGCGAGTGAAGTGATGTAGTTCAAAGCTGCCCTTGGCAATGTTTTCACCCAGGGACCATTTACTATCCCGCCTGTGTGCAAGTGTGACATTCCTGTGGGATTCTGAGCAGCCACTGCCATCTTTGACAGCTCGCTCTGTAATTAGCCACACGCTCCCTCAACAAGTGTCGTTTCTCCCACAGATCAAAGTTGAAAACCAGCAGGACTTCCAGGACATCACCAGCGTGGTGGCTCTGGCTGGGACCTACGCCACCACCGAGCCCTACGTCCAGTCCAAGTATGACATCCGCATCCAGAAGATCGGCAACAACTACAAGGCTTACATGTAAGATGTTTAACGGCACCGGCATCATACACTTCAGAGGAGTATGTAGAGTTCAACCAGTGCAATTGATGACAGATACCATTTTAATGTAGTGAAGCTCACAATAAAACTGAAGTTTTGAGCCAATATCATAGGGTTTTGGGCATTTTTGCATCACAAGTTTTATTTTTTCTTCCTTTTAGAGTGGAAAATCCTGTGAAACAGCATCTAAACCTTCATTAGACAGAACAACACTCACCAATAGACCTTTTCAACCCGACTCTTGCATGTTTTGTTTTTGTGTTTCCACTGCACAGAAGATCTGTGAAGATTGGGCAAATAAGTCCAATAATGGATTACAAAGATGTTTCATGTGTGATTTTCACATGCCCCATCAGAGAGTACTGTTCCCAGAGCAGGGGCTGTTTCTGGCACTAGGAACTGTGTTTGGTCCCTCATTCCTGGGGTCAAGACAGGAAAGGTTCCTGGGTCCTTCAAATGATTCCTGGACCACAACCAGCTCTAGAAGTGGCTAAAATACACTCTAAAACTAACTAACTTTATTTAACCAGCATTTAACAACAGAGGTCTCATCGAGATTCAGGCCAAGACAGGCGGCAATAACAAGGAGATACAGGAATGGACAAAGTGCCGTAGACCTGGGACAGTCACTTTGTGCAGGTGCGTTTAAAAGCCATAAATCAGGGTTTCACAACTTTTCCCTCGAAGCTGTCTGTAGGCGGACCCTGCAGGAGAATCAGGCCAGTCCTAAAATAATAGTCATAATGGGTAATATGTTGCTACAGCTGATACTAGACAGAAAGGAATGAATAAAATTGGTTGCAGTGTTTTGTGTTTGCCTGTAAATTATTTTTCTTTAAAACTTTTACTTCATTATCTTTAACCCAGTTTCCTAATGTTGGTTAATTAAAAACCCTTGTAAATGTGGCAGGAAGCCTCATCTGCTGGAAAAACATCAGCTGCTACAATGCAACACGCAATGCCACATCACATAAAACAACTACAGAGCTAAATGGAAAAATAGGTCTCACTTTGTTCTACTGTTAAGTGAAATGAGTGTGATTACTTCACTAAAACCTACATTTAGCCTCTTTTCTTGTGTATTAAGAATAAAGATGAGTCGTGGTGCCACTGACTTCTATTGAAAAGGGTTCAGTTCGCAGCCATCAGCGCTCATCAGTTAGCATCAGGGTATAACACTTGGCTATGGTACGTTGAGCTATTCAGAAGAGTTATGTTTAATGATAAGTTTTTATAGATATTTCCCAGAGTGCTTTGCAGATAGAAAAATAAGAATTGTTTGTTTCCAGGCAACAAGGTCTGCACTCATGACATGGTCTCCTTCCTTTTTCAAACCCTCACACCCATTTGGAATGATGAGCCCTTTCTCTGTAAATTCAGCCGAGCATGTAGCAACAAAGAATATTAACTTTCAAGTCCCTGTATCTAAACAGTTATCCGAACAGAGTAGCCCAGCCTAATCTCCATCTCGTTTCCCCAGCCTCACCATGAAAAGCACGTCTTTAACGAACATAATGTAGGTGTGGACAACAATCACCGATAGTGACGATAGTTTCTCCCGTGAGGTTTTCTATTCAGCTGCAAAAGAAAAAGTTGTGAGTCACTAACTCCTGGGGGAATTTGTAGTTTTGTGTATGGACGGAGGATGATTCATTTCCTGATGGTTGTCTTTGGTTTTCAGGAGAACATCCATTTCTGGCAACTGGAAGGCGAACACAGGTTCTGCCATGTTGGAACAGATCGCAATGACGGACCGGTGAGATGACTCAGTGATATGATGAGAAAATACAGACCTGGCTTTTGTGTATTTTATACCTTCAAAGACTAAATCTCGCATCTCTCTTTTACACAAACTGGCAGTTTTTATTTCTAATTACTGACAATACAAATGTCCTATATATTTGTAACTATAAGTCCTTTGAAGTTCAACCCATCCTTCATGATACCCCAAGAGCACATTAGGTCTTTAATTATCAGCTTATCAATTATTTGTGTCCCTGTGTTCCAGATACCGGCTGTGGGTGGACTCCTGTGCTGAGATGTTTGGTGGCCTTGACATCTGTGCAGTGAAGGCTGTCCACGGAAAAGACGGCAACGACTATATCATCGAGGTCAGTTTTTTTTTCACCATAGACAGCGGAGACTTTAAGGAAACAGTTTTGAGAAAAAGGGGGCGGCAACCGTCAGTGTATTTGGGAACCCCGGCCAGTCACCTGCATGACCAGATTTCATGGTAAAACGCCGTTTCAGTGTAAACATTAGCTTTGATTCAGTCTCCTTCCCTGCTGATACTGTTTTTCATGTCACGATGATGAAAGTCAACAGGGAAGGGTGTAGCCAGACTTGATTGCACATGATCGTCGGAGCCTTGAAAGAATGATTAGTCCGTAGACCAAACAGGCAGCAGGATGAAAACATCAGGAGTCAACAGTTGACTCACTGCGTCTGCTAACAGTCTGTTTATTTCAGTCTGCTGGTAAAGTTTGGCATTGGACTTGTAGCTTGCAGTTAATAGACCAATGAAATTGCTGTGGCATGACTAGACACAACCAGATTAGGTAAAGCTTTTCTGTCAATGGCAGGGATGAACATGGCAGAAACACAAGGTGTCGCTCATAGTAATGGCCACAGAGAATTATCTGTGGTTACTCTGACCTCCAGGGAGCTTGTTAGCGTCTTTTAGCTTATTGTTTTGGTTTGATGGCCCAGAGCTGTACTGTTCCGGCTCACTCTCACAGCTCTTATCAGTGTTGTTTCCAGCAGCAGGCAGCTTCCTCCATCAAAATAGCTGAAAAATAAGAAAGTAAGTTTCATTTATAGAGCACCTTTTGAAACCTCGGTTACAAGTGGCTGTCCAGTAAAAACATTTAAGAAATACATAAGAACAGGAGATGATAGGAAAACGATAAAAGTAAAATAATAAAAACAATAAAAGTTTCACAGGGGGGTAATCACACATTTTAAAGTGCACCATGTGGTAAAGTGCATATGAAATAGGTGAGTTTTTTGCAGCTGTTAACTGAAATGGCATTTTTTTATTGGCGATTCCAGAGGGTGGGGGCCACAACTGCAAAGGCATGGTCTCCTTTGGTTTTTAGAAAAATGATCTTGCTGCATTGCATCACGGTCTATTCTTTTCTACCGTGGATGTAGCACAGACTGTATATAAAGAGAAATGAGCTTTTGATGAGAGACTGTTTGCTAACAGGTGAGCTAAGGAGGTGATAATATGTCACTTTTGTGTTTACAGCGTGTTTTTGCTGCCCCCAAGTGGCCAAAAGAACAGGTTTGATTTTAAAATTAGGGGGGGGGGGGTTACAGCTGTATATTTTAAGCAGTTCGATAACAAAGTAGAAAAACATTACCCATTGATCTCAATCTGTCTTTGGTGGTGAAGGTATCATCCCTCAGAAAGAAGAGCGGCAGCGGTTTTGCCACAGTATTCAACAAACATACAGGGAAAAAAATCATGATGAATAAAGCAAATGTCAGTTTCTACACCTACAGGAGCTGAAAATAGACCAGAGCGCAATCCAGCAACAAGACGGCTTTCTCTCAAATAGAAGAGCTCTCACTCTACTATCACTATTATTGTCACTTTCTCCCCTGGCACGTTAAAATCCTCTGGCAGGTTTGGTCATGCTGCGTGGGGGATTTTGTAAAACAGGAAATCATTAATTGGATGAAGATCAGGCAGGCAATAACTGCTGATAAAGAGAGAAGCAGGAGATTAAACGTTGTATCATCTGTAATCAGTTTTGTTTTTAGACCGCCTTCTTGTGTCTTCAGATCTTAGGAAACAGGCCGGTCTGGCACGTCTGACATGCCCATTTTTAGGCTGAGAGCATGACATCACACTTCTCTCTATCTGCACGCTGGGTGAGGTCAGTAGTGAGAAAATAAGCCCCTTTTTTTAAACTCAAACTATCTCAGGAAATATCTACCAGCTCCCCAGAGATGTGTAGTCTCGGAGCTGGACTGTGACACAGAGAAACCAGTGACACAGTCGAGGAACAATGTTCCCCGACGAGCTACACTTCCTCCTCCACGTCCTCTCCGTCTGACTGTCCCTCTTTCACCCCTCAGCATGATGGAATTTAATTAACTCTGACAGGGAAGAGCTGTCGGCCCATCACAGTGGGATCCTGTTTTTCTATTCCAGACAAAGACATCAGCCATGACACCTCTCCCTAATGAAAAGTAATGAGCTGCTCCCAGGCACTTCATCAACAGTTTACTGCATGAAGCAAACTCCAGCTTTGTGGCTCTTCACTGTAAACATGTGCAGACAGTGGAGGATGATGTGACATGATATCCCACAACAGCACCACACAGCAGGCACGGCCTAATGTCAAATGACACGACAGTAATTACACAACACGACTATATGACACGATGTGACGTGACGATAGAAAATCGACATGACATGACTTAAAATGGCAAAATGCCACACTACAAGAGTTTAATTTGTCCAATGTTTCCAGTAACTGTTATATTAGCCAACCTGCAAAACTAAAATTATTCCCTTTGACCTCAGTTTTACTTTGTGTTTGGTGCTAATTAGCAAAAGTTAGCATTTTAAGGTGCTAAGCTAAGATGTTGAACTTCGTAAACATGCTGCTAAACACTAAGAGGTTAGTTTTGTCATTGTGAGCATGTTAGCGTGCTAATTTTAGCATTTTTTGAACCATCTGAATGGGAAGAACAGGAAGAACACCTCTTATTGTGGTCACACATTATTCCAAGGTGGTTAGCCCTAGCATAAATTAGCTTTGTAGTAGTTTGTTACCAAGTGAAGCCAGATACAAACAGTGTACAGCTCCTATAAAATGAACTGAATAAGTATATTAAGTAAGTATTAATATTAGGTTTTATTATTACTTGTGTGTTTTCAGCCATTCTGCCAACAGTTTGTTGAGATGTCTGTAGGTCTTTTCACCGAGTGGCAGGTGTGGTAAGTATCAGAAATTGCCGATATCTCCACCTTGGACTAACAAGTCAGAGACTGACATGAACATTATTTCCCAATCTGTAATTTGGTATCATATGGTGTTGGAATATAACTAAGTGCATTTATAAGTACTGTGAGTTTTTCATTTTGTACTACTTTATACTTTTTCTCCACATTTCACAGGGGAATATTGTACTTTTTGCTCCACAACACATTACATTTATTTGACTGATACAGTTACTGGTTCCTTAGAAGAGGATTCAGGATTTTACATAGAAAACATAAGACCATAAAATGTGAAGCATTATTATAGGTTAAACTTTAATTCATTACCAATAATAATAATCCAGTGATGTGGGCTGAGATAACATTCATTCAACATTAGGGGGTATTCTAGTACCTATATTTACTTTTGATATTTCAAGTACATTTTGCTGTTAAGAATTGTTGCATTTCTACTCAACTAAAATTATGAATGCAGGATTTTTACTTGTAATAGACTATTCTTATACTGCAGTATTTCTACTTTTACTGCAGAAAATACTGCATACTCACTACTACTTCTTCCTCTAGTATTGCATATCAGAATATGATTTGTGATAATATATGTCACATTGTACTGTATTATAGCTCAGCCCTGCATGATATCACATGTCATAACAAAACCCATACAATACAACAACACATCACAGCAACTGTAACATGACAGGACGTGACACACTGACATTTTAGTTAACAGGAAGGAAATTAGTGGCCTTGTTATTAAATGATAAACTAACATACATTCACATGATAGGCATGAAAGGCTTTTTTTATTTCATGCAGCCTTTAAATGGAGATAACATACACACACACACACACACACACACACGACATGAGTTCACTCAATAACTTGCCGTGTATTTTTTGGACAAAATAACAGCTGTTTGAATTCTTAGACAGAGAGGTGTATAAGGACACACAGCATCAGGATACTGAGTCAAATAAACTTTTTTTAAACTTTGAGTGAATCATGAAAATCCTTAAGCTCACAACAGGGAGGAATAGAAACACTGCTATCTTAAAGCTAAAGTTGTTTTCCCGGAAAAACGTCACCCTCGGCCCATCCCACCGCGACTGCACCATAATTTTAAATGAGCACATTTCACATGTCGTGCCGTCTGAACTTTCCCGTACAGCGGGGCACATTGTCCAGACAGAACACTGTGCAGCTCAATAAAAGTGCAGAATAACACCTCTGTGTTCCACTGGCTGAAAAGGCCAGTGGCAGCTCCAGTCTTCTGTTAGATGACTCTGTATCCTAATAAATCAGCAGGGTGGATCCCGCCTCTGCTCGCCACCACACGCCGTTTGAAGTGGGCCTGGCGGTCGTTTGCCAGGACTCTGCTCAGTCCCCTGCGGTAATGACTCAACTGGCCAAAACACCGTGCCACGCCCCACCTCGCCACCAATCCTAGCCAAGACGCTGGCTACACAGAAAAGGAAGGGCTTTAAAGGGTTCTCTGGTATGTGGTTCTTTGTAGAACAGTATGAACCCAACAAGTGAGATCTCAAACTGCTCTTGCACACTAAACTCTTGCACATGAAAACACAGTGTAGATTTCAAATGTTTTTGTTTTTTTTCAACATAAAACCAAATAAAACATGAGGCTAAGACATCGTCATTTAACTAATGCCTACTACACACTAGAAGACTTTGAAAAGACTATTAAAAGACTAAGTCTGACACCCTGTCACATCTACAGACAACACCTTACATCAAACGATCGAGATGACGGGAGCGCACCACAACTCTAGCAAAACTCGCATGATGTTATTCTGACCTCGGAAATGTGTCTGTGACAGTGAAATCGCTTGTAAAGGGGTTTGGTGTGAGGCCGACATAAGGAGAACTGATTGAGACTTGGATGGAGGTTGGTTTTGCTAGGTTTTACACAAACCTATGACATGTTTGGTATGTTAGAACAATGTATGTTGGTAATTGGTAGAACAGTATACTGTATTGTAGAATTTCATTGAAGGTTCATTTTCAGACAGTTTGGTTTCAGATTTAACTTGACAAGGAAAAAGGCTTTAAGAATGACGAGTACATCATCCAGGACCAGCTTCCACACAGTGGGGAAGTACTACACAATTCATGTGCTAGTAGTAAACAGGGCTTTTTTTAACGTAACCTATGTTAACCTAATAATGATATGCTCATTGGCTTTGGCTCGGTTACTGCGGATAGTAAGGTAGTTAGCTGGACATGCTAACATTTGCAGTATATGTTGCAACAGATAAACATACTGTTTAAATCGTTTATTTTCTTTTGGAAACACTAAAAAACAACATGGCTCTGAAAACTTTCAATGCTGATTACAGCTCTTCACACAGTGCCATGCGTGTGAAGAAACCCAAAGCTTTATGTCATGACAAGTTGCATTTGGCCGTGATTGGACAACGCTCCTCTGGGGAGGGGTGTGGCAAACTGTGGATTGGACAGTTGGTTTTAGAGCTAAAACAACTGAAAAAGGGAAGATCTACAGATTTTTTTATATTTTATATTAAGTTAAATTGACAATGTTTGGGTCTTAGAGTTTTAGTTAGTCAAAGCAAGTCATCTGAGGACGTGAGCTCGGGCTCTTAGAGTCTGTGATTGGATTTTCCACTATTTTTTAACATTTCACAGAATACACAACCAATTAGTTGAATGAAAAAACAAATGGCAGATTAATTAATAATGTAAATCATGATTGGTTGCAGCTCCAGGAGGTTCGGCATCATCCCAAATTGTTCCTGATGGTGTTAAACAAGCCGAGGCCCAAGAACAGCTGGTGATATATGGAAACTGTGTGTGTAACACGATCAACAGCAGGCCCCTTTAAATACATGACCACCATTGTGCCACCAAAGGTCACGTAATTTAATTTTAACAAAACCACACCACCTTGATTTGTGTGTTTTTCTGTTTGTGAAGCAGGGTTAAACTGATGCCCCTAATAAAAGCAACTTCAACCACAGAGAGGGGGAAACCCGTTCAGTGAGCTGGTGCAGTGTTTGTTTGGAGTGGGAGTTCTGCACACTCTGTGCAGCACATGACTGGACTCTGCTTAGTGTACACTGTGTACAAGAGGATCAGCACAGGCATGCACGCTCTGCGCCGTTTTTACAGCCAGTGGCTGGGGCGTGGTGCTGCAGCCTCATCCACCACTCCAGGCATCTGCATCCAAACCAGCAGTACCAGCAGCCACACTCCTCTGCTCCTGTTTGTTTTGGTCCTCAGGGAGGAGGATGGCGGCTCTCCAAGCCCCATGTGCTCTGTGGCTCTGCAGCACACATGTACGTGCATGTGAGCTCAAGTGGTGGGAAAGTTGTTGTTTTTTTTCTTTGAGGTTAATTATTTGTGTGGCAGTGGATGTGGTCCGTGCCCCTCCATGTCATGCCTGGGGCAACATAATATTTATAGATGGAGTCACATTTTATCTGCTGCTCAATGGAAATTCTAAATTTGGTTCCTTTTTGCTCAACAGAGGGCAGAGAAAAATATCATTTTTAAAGATAAGATATGAGCTGAAATATACCCTGTCACTTTATCTTCAGGTTTCAGTGGAGAGTAGGTCAGTGACTTTTAACATTTTGTCTCATGGTCCCTTAAAATGTAGCAATACCTCATCTCAGGCTGCACATGCAGAGTAAACAACTTTCTCCTTTTACTGTTACTTGATTCATGTGATTTACTATCAGCACGAAGAACAAAAAGGAAACGTGAGAGAAAAATTCTGTCCTTTCTACAGGGTCTCAACCTCCTGATAAAAACTTAAACAACAGCAGTTGTTGCCGCTCCGTTGGAGGGTGTAGCAGGACAGATGAGGACAAGGGACTTTCTGAAGAGTATGGGAGTGCAAATTCAGTGTCGTGCTCAATGCATCTGGCAATAAATAGTGTTTATGGCCAGCAGAGTGTTGTGTAGCTTACAGCTCACTGTGGGGAACACTGCTGTATATGTGATCTCTGTAAAATGACTCATCACTGCTGGCAAAACACCACCGAGTCCATTACCACTGTCATCACTGGGGCTCTGAACCCGTCTCGTCTTCATGATAAGAGATACTATACTGCCACCTGGTGGAGGAGTCATGACGTTTAACCAGGAGGCTGATCAGCTGTTTTATTATCTGTCTCTGTAGGTGATGGACAGCTCTATGCCTCTGATTGGTGAGCATGTGGAGGAGGATAAACAGCTGATCACAGAGCTGGTCATCAACAAGATGGCCCACGTGCTGCTGGGAGTTTCCACACCACAGCCTTCCTCCGTCAAGGTACCACACCACATCGCTGTCAGACAAACCTCCTTCACATAGGCACCACTACTGCTGCTGTAACTACTGCTACTGCTTTCTATAGCACTGCTGCTGTAGTCAAGCAACTAATATAATTAAACAGTAGCTCTAACCAGTATTACTAGTATTATAACTATAAACACAACTGCCGCAACTAATTCTCCTGTTGATACTAAAAAATCTTTCTACTACCTCTATAAAAAACAAAATGTTATTTTCCACCAATGTTACCATTACTAATACCACCACTCATTTTACTACTGTTACTACTGCTAATGCAAACATCATGTTCTTACTACTGACATGGCTGCTACTGTTACTGTAACGACAGGTGAGTGCTGCAACTACAAGCCAAACCCCACACTTTCACCTGTAACAATGATAATACTACTACTGCTGTTGTCAATGGAACTACTAACACTACTACTGATAATAATGATAATAAACTTTATTTGTACAGCACCTTTCATACAAGAAATGCAGCAATAGTGAAGAAATTACATGAACCAAGTGCTTCAACAGACAAAAGAGGAACATTAATGTAAAATGAGATGGAATAATAATAAAATAATAACATTTTATTAAAATGAAAAATAGAAATAAATAAATCAAGAAAGTTTTTCTTAAAAAACAACTATTAAATAGCTCCTCTGCTCTGAGGCAAGCATCTCTACAGAATCTCTTTTCCTGATGGACACAAATGCACCACAGGTTGTGATTACACCGAGGTCAGTCTCGTCCAGCTGCTCCACAACATTTTCTATACAGGTGCAATCTCACTGAGATTTCAATTTCAATTTCAATTTCAGAGCTAGTTAAAGGCTAAAGTGAACAGATAAGTTTTTGGCTTTCTTTTAAAAATACTTAGTGAACCGGCTTCTCTGATATCTACTGTATAGGTGGTATTTTCCGCACTGCGTACTACCCTGTACATACATTCATTTTAATTCATTATATTTATATACTTTTTACTCCAACAAAAAGGTAAATGCAATACAGACATGTGTCTCACTTTATTTCTCTCTGTATCAACAGACCACACAGCCCAGGCGAGGTAAGAAAACACTTCACCACTACAGGAGTTCACTTGTGTGGTGATGAAGCACAGTGAAATAATTCATTGTACATGGTGTGTGTGTGTGTGTGTGTGTGTGTGTGTGTGTGTGTGTGTGTGTGTGTGTGTGTGTGTGTGTGTGTGTGTGTGTGTGTGTGTTTGTGTATGTGTGTGTTTGTGTGTGTGTGCGTGCATACTGCAGCAGGAGGGCACCGCTCTGCTTCCGCTTCTCCATCCCAGTCAGCCCAGGGGTCACCTCAGCGAGCCCGCTCAGCCACCACCTCGCCCAGCCAGGCCTTCCAGCCCGGTCCCATCCCCGCCTCCTCCGGGCCTGGAGCTCAGAAACAGTCACCACAGCTAAAGTGAGTCCGGACTAAAGATCAGCTGATGTCACGCATTGTGTATTAGACGTCAGCATTAGATATTCATGTGTTTGTTTACCTGATATTTTAAGGTAAAAAATAGATGAATTATTTTATATCCTGTTATATATGTTTCAGTGATCTCATCTGAAAGTGTAATGCCCCATGCTGCTGCTAGATGGAGACATAGAGCCAGCTGATACACTTCAGTCTCCTTTTTAATTGCAGACAAAACTGCATTGATTTTGGTTTGAAGAACATTCGTAAAGATTACATTTCAGATTGGGGCTTTTCTTTACATCTAACCTTTCATCTTCAGTAAACTAAACCGCTCCTCCGTTTACTGCACAGCAAATCCCAGTCGCTGACCAACACCTTCACAGAGACCTTACGAGGAAACCTGACCGACGACGAGGCCAAAGCCGAGACCATCCGCAGCCTCCGACAGTCCTTCGCCAGCCTCTTCTCCGACTAACAACTTGCCCAGAAGCTTCCTCTTCCTGTCGGTTGTCAGGTGTGAAAACACAAAAAAAAAAAACCTGACTGGTTCATCTGAGTCTCCTTCCTCCTCCGAGCCTCAGCTTCCCGGTCTTTCTCTTTCCTTCTCCCGGTGCAATCCGCTGTCCTCAAGTCAACAATATGTTTATCACTAGAAAGGCCAACAGGTTTTCAGAGTGTTTGTCTTCCTTACAGGAGAGAGTAAGACGTGTTGGACATCAGACGCAGACGCAGAGTCAAACCAAACCCCATTCAGATTTCTGTAACTTTTACTCCACTTTATGATCTACTCTGTTTCCTCCTCCTCTAAGATCATATAAAGACATACTCTACACCAGGTCCATATACGCTTTAGTTTAGCCATTATTTTGTTAAAGGTGCTATATGTAAGTTTTTTGCTATAGCTACATAGCCAACATTAGCATTAACAGCTGTCTACTCACCAGTCCAGAAGAAACGTTGCAAGTTCAACATCAAACTTCATTCCTTTACTTGCCAAGAGCTGTCTCCAGCGACGGCAAGCAACACCAACTTGAACTTTTAATTTCCTAGCCAGCCCATCCCGTCTTGTAATACCACTCTGTGATAGAGAGTCACTGTAGCGGCCAGTTCAGCATGAGAGGATGAAGAAGTCACACTGCACAGAGCGTGTGTAGCATCCATTATCACCACCACCACCCACTCCCAGCAACAAAAAAAAACAAAACATTGGATGGCAGAGAAAACCTACATATAGCACCTTTCACATGCTTCTGCAGCTGTCTCCTTATTCCCATAATTCTTTGTGTTTTCATTTAACAGCACTGCAGGGTTCATGTTAGAGGAAAGTTGATGCTGTAATTGGGTTTCAAGTCGAAGCCGAGGTAAAAAGCATCGATACAAATGTGTGAGTCGCCCCTCGAGTTCAGATCAGCCAGTTTGGCCTTTCCAGTGGTGAATCTAGCTGGTACTGCTTCGTATGTAGTCGTACGGTGTTTGTACAACCAGTGAAACAGTTTGTTATCTGTCCGTGTTTAATTTATTTATATATTCATTTAAATTTATTTTGATAAGTCTAAGTGACGCGCAGCTTCCAAACTGTTTGCAGATGTTGACAGCAATATTCTGATCTGAAACGGTTCCTGTGAACTCATGAGAAATGTTCTGAATCCACTCGGTTCACCAGCGATCCTCCGAGCATCTTTGCCAGCAGCCACAGTTCTCAGACGTCCGTGTGCTGTAGACACATATTGGCTCTCGTAGTGACTCCTCTACCTTGGCCTAACATTACCAAAGTGCTTTTTAATAAAACATTTTGAAAAAAAAAAGTCCCCTCTGCACTGGGTCAAGAAAACCATCACACAGCGAACCCGCCCTGCTGTACTGGCTTACAGCCGTCGTCTTCCATCACAGTTCAGATCTTCCCCTGCAATTGTTCTGTTTCTTGATGTTTCGTGCTTTGTGAGTGGCACTGTGGAGTATTTTTGTGGGGGATTTGTAAAATCTGAATCACTGCTGTGTGTTTAAAGGCAAACGGTGCGGATGTGATGTTCTAAGATGTTTCATGTGCTTCAGTTTCCTCTGAGACAGAAGAGATTTGGTTGTTTAACGTCACATTTTATCTCTTTACTCTCCTTTATTCTCTACAGCCAGTGTTAGCTGGGATTATAGATAATTTATCATCATCCTTTTTTCAGCTTGTGGTCACACGGTGTGTTTGTTATACCTTCATTGGTACGTTTCCAACATGTACTCCATGTAAGTGAACATACATAGAGTCAAACTGGTGTTTTCTAATAGAAAACCAACACAAGCTAATGTTGTTAACTATTCTACAAAGAGAGCAGAAACAATGGATGCTGTCATTTCTTTATGATTTCCTGGAAAGGATGATGATGTTTGATAGTGAAAATATAGATTATGTAGGTTCCCAGAACTAGGAAGTGTTACTGTTAATAAACAGTTGACTGAGGAGGAATTGAACTGTTCTAAAGATGTAATGTGCATACACTATATTGTAGCCTTCAATGAAACAAATATTGTTTTTCAGTCATTCAGAGTTAATGACTGACATAAATCCATTTTAATTTATGTAAATATTAATTTATATGATAGAAAACTAATTATCCATATTTGTTGTTTTGATCAAAGAAGTGGAAGCTACCCGTTTGTTGTAATTATTTGCAAGTGTTCACTCTGTCAGTTCTCCTTATAATTAGCACTAAATTACATCTTTAAGAGGAAAAACAACAACGTGAAATTAAATGGACCTGTTAAGTTAATTGTCAGCAAGCTTCCTACAGAATTCTTGCAGCCTTGATGTGACAGTTGCTTACAGGAGGAGATCGGCTGTTTATGTTGCTTTTCATGCAGAGCACAATCACAATCTTATAATCTATAAATTGGTCCTATTGTAGGAAATTAACAAGATGTGTGGTAGTTTGCTCTAAAATTATCTGTGCTATAAATACAAAGACAAGATATACAGTGATTGACTGCAGTGTGAATATCTGTGAGCAGTATGCAGTAGTTTAAATGGACCTGTCTGGATTCCAAAGTTTTTATTGTTCTTTTAATGATAATAATAATCATAATAATCATAATAATCATAATAATAATAATAATAATAATGATAATGGCCTCCATTTAAGAGTAAAATCTATTCAAATGCATGACGCTGTACAAAATTTATAGTTGTGTGTGCGGGTGTGTGTGTATGTGTGTGTAAAGTTGTAAATTTTCCATTATGATTAGTTATAATACGACCACAAAAACAGAGCTGCCCATTTCTGCAATAATTATTATTATATAAGTATAAGTATATATATAAGTTTTAACTCATTTTGATTTTAAACTTAGAAGCTCAACACTGTAAGAGAAACTATTACAATTACTATTAATATTATTTATTTTACCTTATTTATTTTGCCTTATTTATTTTGCCTATCTTTCGGACGTTGCCTTCCAGTCTTACTGGCAGTAACATCAAAAACTAACATTGTTTGTTCATTGCACTGAAACAGCTTAGTGTGTGTTGGTGTGACAAAACACACTACAGTGCTCCTAACCGTACAACTGTATAACTGTACAAAGCACTGATCAGAGTTGTAGTTTAACTTCTACTAACAGCTGCTCTTGAGCAAAATGATAAGAATAATCTGGTAAGAATGAGGACCAGTATGCTCTGTGCATTAAATAATATAAAACTGTCAAGTAATATAGTGTCAAATGCTCCTTGCTTTTAATCACTGTATGCTGTAAGCTAGTTAACCACATATGCTAACATGCTAACATCTGCAGCTCATGTTCGAGCAGATGAACAGACTGTTTCATCCATTCCTCACACTTCAGCTCTGTTGTTTGTATTTGAGCAGCATCGAAATGGAGAGAATGGTTAGCCAACGGTCTGTTAGTCTGCTCACCTTCAAACATGAGGAAGTCTGTGCCAGTGATATTGTCCTTTATTGCCTTTTAAATTTGCCAAACTGTTTGGAGAAGTAAACCTCTGATCTGCAGTCAGCTTCATCCCTGAGTTACTGCAGTGTTACTGAGCACTTTCTGTGTCAAAATGGACCAAATTAGCATTTTGTTGTGACGGTTTACATCATATTGTTTTATTTTGTTGTAAAGATGCCGAACACTCGGTGTGTAATACTGCAGTGTGATAAGCCATAACCAGACCATGAGGATTTACTGTCCCTTATGTGCCGCGCAATAATGGCTGTGACGTCACCGATAAACTGACATATGAACTTGGATCACTGTGTGTTGACTTTAAAGATGAGCTGGTCTGTCCTGCCCCTCAGAGGCACACAGCAGTAATCAACAGAAGTCATACGGGAGGAAAGATAAACTTTGATGTCGCTTCTCTCACTTTTACCAGACTTTGGCTTTAAAATGCAGTTTAGGATCTAGTTGATGCTCATCTCTTGGGTCAGATTATAAACAATGACCAGATGTCAAATGATTTTTGAAGTCTACATTTGCATTTACATTTTTTTTTATTTTAGGAACAGACAAAGAGTCTCATTCAGCTGCTATAAACTAGTAGCTTAACACACCTGTATTTTTTTTTAACTGACTCAATTTGAACTGAGCTGCAAACTTTACTAGTAACTACCTCAAGTTCAGCAGTCCTCTGCAGAAAATATAGAGTGGTAGTACTGGAAAAGATTTTGTGAAATGAGCAAAATGTAACTAAGAGCTTATCAGTTTGATACATGTACTGTAGAGAAACAACAGTGTAGTGTGTGTGACATCAACCTGAGGAAGTCTAGATTCCCTGCAAAAACCCAAACACCTGCATGTGACAACTAACACAGTAATGATGTAAGAGCTACTCAGTCACTCAGTCATGCCCAAAACATTCGCCTCTTTAAGTATTAGTATCCACTTAATGGAATTGAATTAAATGCATATAGCTACTCATTCTGGAGAAAAATTGGCATTTCCCACATTATACCAAGCATCAGCGTCTGGGACTGAAAAATGAAGCCAACATTGAATTGACAGAAACTGCTGTTCCTCTAATGACCACTTGAGTCTTGCTCCAAAAGCGAGTCAATCCCCATAGACTCCCATGTTAAAATGTCCAACGTTACAGCAGAAATAAACATATTTACAGCCTGATACAAAAAAACAGTTTGGTCTCTATTGCTAATTCCCTCCTTCATGACAACTGTACAGGGGGTGAATTTTAGGTGTTTAAATTTTATTAAGGCTTAAAGTTGTACACAATTTAGGGCGTGGCCACCTTGAGTGACAGGTGCGTGAGCGTATGCCTGCCACAGACCGGCTCCACACACGCCCCACCTCTTTGCACATTTTTGGATTAGCCGGGAGTCAGGCACTACCAAGATTGCAACGGCAAAGCAGCCCACTCTGAGCTTTAAAACTACTCTTCAGAAACCTATGGGTGACGTCACAGAGGCTACACCCATCTTTATATACAGTATATGCAGTATATACATCATGGATGGATAACCTACTAAGCTAAGTAGGCAACTGCTCCAGGAGTACTGCCTGGTCTGTGGTAACTTGGTCAGTTTTAACTCAGTTTTGACCATATTATTAGTAAATAACTTTCTTCATCTATATCAAGTCAGTTAAAAATTTAAATTTTGCAATATGCCTCAGCAGAGCACAATATAACCTGAAATGCTAATTTTCAAAGAGTCTTATGTTTACCTTTACCTTTTATTATTTCAGACAATATTGTGCTTACTGCATGTATGTGTGTATATATATATATATATACATATATATATATATATACATGTTCCTAAATACATTTTGTTTAAAAATTCCACACTGTCCAAAATGATGGATAGTTTGATGTCAGTTTTCTTAATTAGGATTGAATTAATGCCATACATAATGTATGCTCATCTTTTTGATCAGAGTGAATGAAACCAGATCTTAGATGAGCTAATTTTCCCATCAGCTGTGATTTGCTATACTAGCTTTTCA